CTCAAATGTTTTCCCATGCAGTGGGCTCTCTTGTTTTGTCGATAGTTTCTTATGCTGTGCAGAAGCTTTTTATTTTGATGTAGTCCCATTTGTTTATTTTTTCCTTAGTTTCCATTTTCCTAGGAGCTGTATCGGTAACGACATTGCTATGACATATGTCTGATATTTTGCGGCTTATGGGTTCTTCTAAGATTTTTATGGTTTCCCATCTTACGTTTAAGTCTTTTATACATTTTGAGTTTATTTTTGTGTATGGTGTAAGTTGGTGGTCTAATTTCACTTTTTTGCATATTATCTGTCCAGTTTTCCCAACACCATTTATTGAAGAGATTGTCTTGACTCCATTGTATGCTCTTGATTTCTTTGTCAAATATTAAAGTTTCTCTCTTGCAGAAGTAACAGATGTGTCTTCTTTAGGAAAAAGAAAAAAGACTTTAAAATCCCACTTTAAAAGATTAAACTCAACGACACTGGTTTTGGGACAGTGTTGTGATATGAAGGACAAACACTTCTCGAATCCTTGTGATCTGAGATCAAATTCTTTGATTTAATGGTAGGAAAACAGGGATATTTGGAAAAGTGGGTTTCAAAAAATGTCATAATGACTTAGTAGCTTTCTTGTTTTTCTTGCTATTCAGGTGCAAGGTTTGGAAATATTATTAGAGAGAACCACATCTTCTATTTTCTCTCCCATATTTCTTATAGGGGGAAACAGTTAAAAGAGATGAAAATATTATAGCCATATAAATAATTTAATTTTAAAATTGTTTAAAAAATGGAGGCTTCGTGGCTGTAATCTATTTGGAAGTGTAGGCCACGCACTTGTCTTGGAGATGCGCTTGTAGAGAGAGTACTTTGCTTTTACTTAGATTGTATATTACAGGTCAATAAAAATAGAAATGTTTTTTAAAAGATAAAAAAAAATTGTTTAAAAAATGGACCTCAAAGCTACAGAATTAAATCAACTCAACTGGTTACTCTAAATATCATCTGTTTTCTACCTACTTAGGCAGGTGAGCTTATAATGACAAAGCATGTGGGTGAGATGCTTGAGGAGAAGAACGAGACAAGTATTCTGTAAACCTGGCTGACAAAACAAAACACATCAAGAATTTCACTACCAGAGTCCTAATCCGTTTTCCTTTGTAACCATAGGTAAACACGCTTCGCATTAGTTTGATTTTGTGACAGAATTTTCCTCCCAAAGCTATGATTAAAAATTATTATAGCAGCATTCTTTCCTAGACCAATAAAATAGCATTTGGGACTGGGTGGGTGTGGGGAGGGGGCACACACATATACACACATATCACTGTAGACTAAACCACCATTTTTATCATCACCCCAAACGCCGAATATACTAGGTCCTGTCACTATCCTTTTATACCTTTACAACATAATGCCATCTTAATAACTGAGCACCAGATGGGAGCATAGTGAGGTAATTCTGGGTGTGTGGCCTGATATCCTAGGGGAAGAGCTGTAAATAAGCCAAGGTGTGGTGTGAGAATAAACTACTTTTAGAACTTAGATGCATTAGTTGGGTACCAATTAGAGTGGCACAGGTGTTTTTGTCAAGCACATTATCCCATGTTATCAGATAAGAAACCTGCTGACAATGCCATAGCTTGGAAGCATCAGCCTCTTAACTGTAACTGATCCCTGATACATCCGCAGTCCAGAGGAATGTCCAAAGGCAGAGTTGAAACCACCGAGTCACAGAGTGAATGGAAATTGCTCTGATGTTCCTCTGTGTCCATATTGATTTTAGCTCTTTTTTTTTTTTAAGGCACAGATACTTCTATTTTTTAAAATATTTATTAATTAAATTGATTGGGGTGGCATTGGTCAACATAAACATATAGATTTCAGGTGTGGGTTTCTATGTTACAAGATCTGTATATTGCACTGTGTGCCCACCACCCAAAGTCAAGTCTTCTCCTGTCACCTTATATTAAGACCCCTTTTTGCCTCCACCCCCTTCCCTCTGTCAATCACCATATTGCTGTTTGTGTTAATGAGTTTCAGCTTCATTTTCCACATATGAGTGAAATGATATAGTTCTTAGACACAAGTACTTTTAGTTCTTTTTGTTTTGTCTTGTTTTGGAAGATGATTTAGTTTAGCCACAGATTATACGGTATCATTAGTGCTCTGTGAACATGGAATGTCTGATCTGTTAACTGACATTTATGTATTACCAGCTGTTTCTGGACCAGTACATTAATTTTTAAAAACGTTTTTAATTTCTCCTAATAGCAAATCAATTGCTTTCTAAGCTTCATTCATGAATGGGTTTTCTGTGAGTTTACCTCCACTGTTACTAGTAGAGGGTGTTTCTTTTGTTCCTTTATAAACAGGACTTCATGATACTACAAGCTAAAAAAAAAAAGTAGAGGAAAAGGGCATTGTGGGAGATAAAAAAAAGGTAAAAATAAATTTTCTCTCTCTCAAAACAGTAAGAGTAAGTGGAATTGCCCGGCCATGGTGGCTCAGTGATTGAACATTGATTGACCTATGAACCAGGAGGTCACGGTTCCATTCCTGATCAGGGCATAAGCCTGGGTTGGGTGCTTGATCCCTGATCATGCAGGAGGCAGCTGATCAATGATTCTCTCTCATCACTGATGTTTCTATCTCTTTCTCTCTCTCCCTCTCTGAAATCAATAAAGATATATATTTTTTAAAAAAGAGTAAGTGGCACTGAAGACTAAGTTTTACTGGAGAGGGGGAAGGAGAGGGAGAGAGAAGGGGAGAGGACATGGTAGTACCGACGATGAAAATTGCTTCTCTGCTTTACTGGGAAGAGGGCTGGGTTTCACTGAGATGTGGCCCTCACTGAAGAGGATGACTCTTTACTGCTGAATGAGTGGCCTGAGCTTGGAGAAATGAAGGAATGGAGATCAGCAAATATCTTCTGCTTCAAAATCTGGGACCCCCCTCATAGGCAGTCAAACCACATAATTAGGAAGAGCATTTGAATTGGTCTTTGTTTGGGGTCAGAAAGAATGATATGCTGGTGATGGATCCTTTATCTCCAGAAGATAGGTAAAGATGCCTTGTGTACGTTGTCAAAGTTCTGGACCCCATCAGAGCCCTTTGGTCTGTGAGGGGAGTGGAATGAGCCCTGTGTAGTGTAAGGGTTACAACAAAACAACAGCCTAATGTTTGGGTAGATCCTGGAGATGAAAAAGAGGAGCAGCAGTTACTGGTCCCTCAAGGAGAGACTGGAGTGACAGGAGCCTGAGAGAAGAAGGACTTTGTGGACTGAAGGCCTGAGCATCAGTGCTAGGCCCAGAGAGGTCAATGGTAGGCCCCGAAGGGGTGGGGTCCCACAAAGTGTCAATCTCCTTCAGAGGCCTACCCTCGCCTGTGCCACAGACTTCCCTGGGGCAAGAAAGAGCAGAGCTGTCAGCCACAACAGAAACCTAGCTTTCAGCAGTGAAAGACCCCGATGTGGCCCCAAGGAGTAGCAGCAGCAGTGGCAGCTCAGGCTGCTGGTCAGATTTCCCTCTGATTGGGCCTGAATGCACTTCCTGGGCAATGCTCAGGAAGTGGGGAGCCCAAGAGAGCAATACTGGCCTTCTTGGAACTTACATGTTCCATCCAGTTTTGATTTAACTTGTTGTGATCAGAGAGACAAGACTGTATCTCAGATGTGTTACGGAAAAGCTTCTCACAGCTAACAATTAAATGACTGCTATTTCATATTCACTATGAAATTACATTAAGCGTTATCTCATTTATCCTCACTGCAGTGTTAGAAAACATATACTAAACAATGGGACCTGGTGTTCTGATTACATGTATTTATTGCAAAAACAAAGCTAGGTGAGGACCAGGAAATTTCTAGACTTTCTTCCCCACTTACACTACCTTATAAATTTTGATTTTCTGAACCTATTAATATTTTTAAATGTGAAGTTATGAAAATGCTGCTTGATTAATAGGAGATATCTTAGAACATAGGACCCAGAAGAAGGCACATATCTCAGAATGGCCAGAAAATACTGCCACCAAAACACTCTCATAGCTTCATTTCTCTTCTACTGCAATCTCAACCCCATATTCCTCCTTTACAAATATCTCAAAGATAAATTTTACCCCCTCAACAACTTTTAAAGACCAGAGCCATAAAAAATCAGATAATCACATCAATAAACCTCAGAGTTCATGGAGACAACCGAAAGTCTCAGTATAATAGTAGTGAAAAAATTTTATATTCTATAATTTGAAAAAAAATACTTTCTCCCAGCAAAAGCTGAATAAACAAAGATAAAATATGTGTTTCAACTGAAGATAAAAGGCATTTACAATCACCAATTTTTAATATGCATAAAAATAGTTGTTACTAATAAAAATATTTAGGTTAAATGTAACCCTTATCTGTTCTAAGAATCATCGTACTGATTTAGCTATGCTTTGCTATTTAACAATATGCATTTAAAATATGTGAGTGGAATAAATGTAAGTGCTCTACACAGCATGGGAGATAACAATTACTTACCCTGTAGGCTGGCTCTCAAATTCTTCTGACCACTGCTCTTGAATATCCTCTGTAGAAAGATCTACATCCCGGGTGGTTGCAAAATTAAATTCACTGCCTTCATTTCCATGGAAATAAATGGAGTTCCCATCTGACTGACAGCTATGCTGTAGATAAAAAGAGAGCATGGGGTGGCTGTTGAATTGGTTTTGTAGCTGAATCTGTCTTACTCATGTATAATTAGAATTTTTAGAAAAGTCATTATATTATTCCCTCTCTGATGGACTCTCAAGTCAAAAGAGCTTGTTACTTCTTTTTTGTCTTATTTAATTCAATTACAGTTTCTTTCTAACTTATTAAGTTATTATAAAAAAGGAGTCGAGAGGCCATTTGATCTTTGCCACCTCAGCCTTCAGAATGAAACAAGAATATTTTAATTGGAATAATTTCTTATCTTCAGCATAGTCCTTGTTGTGGGAATTAAGTGTGATAATGACTTGTCATATATTTTCAATACTGTGGTTATGGGCTAAATTGCATGACCTTTTCATTATTCCATATAGTTTTAGCTTGTCATTCAAGCCTTCCACAATTTTTCTGTAAATGGGATGTGAGTAGACTAGCCAGCTAATCAAAACATGGAATATAGAAAAGGTCAAAGTAATCCCTGATATGATCATATATTCTCAGCCACCTTTTGAGTAAAAGTTTCTAACCAGACTTAAGAAGTGCTGAGAAATCACAAACTTTGTTATACTCCAAAAGAACACTAGGTTTACAAAAAAAGAAAGAGGAATTTCTTATGATAATTTTTTAACATTTTTTTAGCTTAAAGTGAATAGTCAAAGGCAAGAGCACATTCTAGAGCTGAGTAAACTGAGTATTTAAAAAAAAATATGATAAATTTGCATTAATAATTCTTGGTAACAAGTTATATAGAGAGAAATGTTAATAAATAAAAGATCAAACATTCTTTTATGTTATATACATATATTCTTAAAATGAAATAGATATGAACTGAAGTAGTTGGGCAGAAAATATTAGGCACAGCGAATGTAAGTTCTGTAGGGCAAGGATCATGTCCATTTTATTCTGTGTTGTAATCCATGTCTTAGCACAGTGTTTGGCATATAGTAGGAATTAAAATATATTCTTTCAACAATTAAATAAATCAATGAGTGAATGATATAGCTATGCCTTTTCAGGTGTTAAATTAATCTTTCATGGAGAACTCAGTAGTAGAAGAGATTAACAAAGGTACTGGGAGGAAGGGGTTTATAATGAAGTAATATAATATATATTCTTTGCTCTAAAAAAAAATCCCAGTCTAGATGAGATCTATCAAAGATAGGTCTCAATGCCAGGCAACATATAGTAAGTGTTAATGAGTGAGAGAGGATAGAAGTCACTGTATGTGGGGGCTGGTGTAGGTGAGCAGGCTTCATAAATGAGTAGGACTTCAACAGCCTTTAAATAAAAACAAAATCCAAGTTGGATGACAAATAAATGAATGACAAAGGTGACAAGTAGGCATGATTTTCAGAATTACACTTTAGCCTGACAGCAAAAGATCTTAAATGGTAGTCTAAGAGATCTCTACAATATTCTGTTGGCAGTGGTAGCCTAGAATGGAGGAATGATGTGTGCAAACAAATGTTTTATGACAATTAAGCTGGTTAATGCTGGTAAAATCAATTGGGGGAGAATTCAGATTACTACACTGAAGAGTAAATAAAGCTTTCAGAAGCTCCTGTAAATTCAAGAGTCAAAAAAGCATATGATCTTGGGGAAATCACTTCATAGCACTGAGATATTAAGGCATATCCATTGGATCTTATCATCTTAGATATATTGTTGTGTGTGACATGTAGCTCCTATCAGAGAATCTTTTTCACAACACAGTAAATACAGGTTATTCACAGATGCTAAACTGAGATCACTGCATGCAATCTTTAACCCACACACATTGGTCAAAACTAGGATTCAGTTTTATTTAATAGTAAATAGAAACTGTCAAGCTATGAAAGCCGAAGTATCCTCTACTACTGTGCATCCTATAAAGACAATAAATGCTAAGTGGAATAACAAAGATTACTTTCTTAATAATAAATCCACTGAGCTGTAAGTTTCATAGTTATCTTCACATTCTGGAATCTGGAACAACTGCGGCCTATGTTATCTGGAAGTAATATAAGAACTCTGATATCAATGCAAACAATACATTGTCATTAACCAAGGAAATGGCATACATGAAATCTTATACATGTGACAATGGAATAATTTCTATTACAATTTAAAAGAATGTATTTGTGTAATAAAAACAATAACTCGCTTAACATAAAACTTTGGTCATTTCTGGCTAAACATCAATTTAATTTTTCAATTTTGGTTTCCTATATATAAAATCCTTACCCGGGATATGCTTTTATTGATTTTGGAGAGAGAGGAATGGGGAGAAAGAGAGAGAGAGAAACATTGATCAGTTGCACCTTGACTGGGAATTGAAACCACCACCTAGACATGTGTCCCAACCAAAAATCAAACCTGCAACATTTTTGATAGACACTCCAACCAACTGAGCTACTTGGCCAGGGCAGAATTGTTTATTATTTTAAGACTCTGTGTTATGCATAATTATGTTTCACTACTCCTCCAAATTTATATTATTCACATGTCTGATACATATTTTAATGAAGTTGAGATTGAAATTTTATGTAAAAGATGAAATCATTATAAAATTAGATAGCATGCTGTTAAACTTCTTTCACAACATTAAAATGTCTTAATGTTTTGGGAAACTAAAAGGATATTTAAATGATCTTTATGGTAGTTATTTTGCTGTTACAAAACATTTGGTAGTTTCGTAGACCACTTGTAATTGTACAATTATTGAAAATTCTCTATTAAATATATACTTTTATCACTATAACTGCAATAGTGCCAGCATAGGAAATAAAAGTAATATTTATCATATCAAGTATGAAGAAAGCAACCTGAAAAAAAGTAACACTCTTTTTGCGTAACAACCAATTTTCATACTAGTAGAGTCTAAACATTAGTATGATCTGTCTTTGGCAAATTTCCTTGAAGGGTAAAATGGTTTAGTTTTGTAGTTTTATTATTCCTCTAGGGAAGAAACTGTTAATACCCATCTGTAGTAAAAGAACAATACTCAAGATGGAATCTAAATGAAAACAAACAGGGCAGTGGTTTATGCCAGTCAGGGTTCATTTTGCACGGTAAACACCCTAATCCTATCTGTCAAGTTTAAGGGAAGAGTCACAGTTAGCTTTGTTATCCCCTCCCAACTAGATCCAGTGTCCTTTGGGTGTAGAGGGAGAAAAGTATCGCTTTTTGAATATTCTCCTTTTCATGGTCTTAGTTAGTTCAGTGCCACATAATCAAAGAAAGGGTGTGACACGCCCAAAGTACACAGCGGCCTTTCAGAAGGAGGTGGCTCAACCTTCTCTATCTCACAGCAAGATAGGCTGCCATTTCCTGGGTGGCAGGGCCTGCAGATGAACTGAACCCACGCAGATGGCTTGGCTGGCTCTGCTCCCCACCACACTGAGGAGATCAGAGATGATTTCTGCCTCAGCCCAATTGAGTAGAACCCAATGTTTTTCAAGTTTGGAGTAAGGGTAACATGAGCCAGCAGGCTAATATAAGGACTACAAAATAGGGGACAGTCTGTAAAACTGGTGAATTCTTCAAACATTTTAGCAGGAATAGGCCACCTGAGAAGCTGATTAAGTATGGGCCCTATAATACGTAAGAATTTTGCAAAGGGTTGAGGCCAGTTTGGGGTTCTCATTTCTGAGGATTCCTAAGATAATTACAAGGCAAGTTGGAGTTTCTTGTTTGTTTGTTTTTAATATATTTTTTATTGATTTCAGAGAGTGAGAAAGATAGAAACATTCATGATGAGAATCACTGATTGGCTGCCTCCTGCATGCTCCCCACTGGGTATCAAGCCCCACAACCTGGGCACGTGCCCTGACCGGGAATCAAACTGTGACCTCCTGGTTCATAGGTCCACTGAGCCATGCTGGTCGGGCTAGAGTTTCTTGCTAATTCTATTTTAGGATTGGTCACAGATGGCTCGGTGTCTTAGAAATGGTCTGGTTTCCCACGTGCTCTCCAAACTGAGAATTTATACCTGAATGCATTTGGATTGAGATGCAGTCCCTGGCCTCTGCTTGTTTGATACTGCATTTCTGCATCTGAATGGGACTCCATGGCCTGCTTGATTAGGTAGGGGTTGTTGGGACTTTCTCCTAGAATTTACCTCAATTAATTCAGCACCTAAAGGAATGAAGGCCACAAAGACCTGAAGAAAACAAAGAACTGGAAACCAAAAATAATCAAGATGACAAGAAATGAAAACTCAGTTACTATGCATCAGGATTTGAGGATTGGAGTCAGAAGGCATGTCCCCACACATTTCTCTGCTTAATGGTGACATGGTTTTGTGCAAGTCATTTAATTCCCTTTTGTCCTGTTTCTTAAGCTGTAGAATAAGCCCAATAATATTTATTTTCTAGAGATGATGTTAGAAGCACAAATAATATATATGGAAGTGCTTTTTTAAAACTCTTAAGTGTTGTAATAAAATTATTTTATTTCTGAATATGTGCATTTTCAAAAAATAAGGCATTATATTCCAAACTCTTAGCAGTAGTTGATAGTAAAATTGAAGGCTAATTAAATCTATTTTTTATTGATGCTAGAGAGAGAGGAAGGGAACGAGATAAAGAGATAGAAACATCAATGAGAGAGAAACATTGATTGGCTGCCTTCTGCACATCCTCTACTGGGGATTGAGCCTGCAACCTGGGCATGTGCCCTGACTGGGAATCAAATCGGTGACCTCTTGGTTCACGGGTGGATGCTCAACCACTGGGCACACCAGCCAGGAATTAAATCTATTTTTTTTATTGTGTTTCTCATTAGACTAGTCATTAAAATTCTTAAGAGCAACTTAAAACCTTCAGTAAAATATAAAAGAATATTTCCCACAATACAACATGGTAGGCACTGCATATACTCATTCATTTTTTAGTGCAGATAGACCATCAGTTAGAAATATAAAAGCCCTTCAAATTCTGGCAGATTACCAAACATTCTTCTGAGACAGGAAAACTTAATAATGCAAGATGTCTGTTGC